TGAGACTTCGGCCGGAGACTCGTCCCAGGGGAGGCGGGGGTACGGGGTGAGCCACCGAGCGGTTCCAGCTCCGGGAAAGAGAAGGTTACTTAGGGTCCCTTGAGCTTCAACTCGGCAGCGCTCCAAGCCCAAGGGGCCCTTGCCAACCTGGCGCCCTGTGTTGTGTGTGTCTAACACCCGGTCCGTGCCGGCCACCCGCGCCCGCCCGCCGCTGCCCCCTAGCTCGAGGAGGACATCGCGGCCAAAGAGAAGCTGCTGCGGGCGTCGGAGGACGAGCGGGACCGGGTGCTGGAGGAGCTGCACAAGGCGGAGGACAGCCTCCTGGCCGCCGACGAGGCCGCCGCCAAGGTACCCGGGGCGCGCGGCACCGCGCAGCGCACGAATGGCTAACTCTGTCTTTTTCTTTCTCTCTCCCTCCCTGTCTTTCCCTTTCTCTTTCCCGCTGTCCCTGTCCTTTTGGTTCTGTGCACCCACACCTCTCCCTTGCGGGATCACGCTGCCTGCTGCACCCCCCCTTCCCCATACCCTCCGGCCACCTCCCAGCTGGAAGATGAGCTGGTGTCGCTGCAAAAGAAACTCAAGGGCACTGAAGATGAACTGGACAAATACTCCGAGGCTCTCAAAGATGCCCAGGAGAAGCTGGAGCTGGCAGAGAAAAAGGCCACCGATGTAAGTGCACGCTCACACTGCTTCCATCACCTCTTGCCCGCGTGGCCACTCTGGGGTCACCACAGGGCCTGGAGAGCAATGGAGGAGGATTCCCTCCTCCTGCTGGACACCTGTACACAGCCCTGCCATGGCCTGAAGCACTGGATGCAGCCTCTGACTGCTACTGCACACCTGCGTTTATATTTCTCCATTCCTCTCTCTCTCTTTCTCTCTTTTTCTCTACCCGCCTAAGGGTAGAGGTGGGTGGGTGAAAAGCTGGGAGAGTAGAGCAGCTGAAATTGGACTCTGGAGGTGAACTTCACCTCCCTGGTGGCAGAAAACCCCTGAGGTGTCATCACCAAGGTTTGTGCAAGCAAAGAATGCCTAGTTTTCTTTATTTTCTTTCCTTTTTGCCATCTTCAATGGGTGGGAAGTTCTGGATTTTGGTAGTGGGGCCAGTCAGTGTACAGAAAGCCTGGGCTCTAAATCAAAGAAATGACATAGTAGTACTTTCACTTAGAAGGCTGAGCTTCAGGATGGGACACAGAGACACTTTAAGGCTTCCTTTCTCACTAACAAAGTCTTAATCCAGCTCTTAAGATGTGCCTGGGAAGATGATACTTGCTTGGGTTTGCAGTCTGAGGGCACTAGATCCAGAAAGTAAGCTGGGAGTTATATATAGCTCAGTGCTTTATATGGTATAGTGAACTAGCTGCCCCCTGCCCCTCCTGTTCACCCCGCCCCCACCTGTCAGCCTTCTGACAACCACCACATAGTTTCAGGGGTGATGCACACAGGCTAAAGCTCTACAGAGCTTTGTCCGCTGCCCTTTGGAATCTTTTTAATTGAAGAACTTGCCTCTTCTGCCTCAGAAAGTCAAGCCAACCATTAGATTTGCAGAGGATTGGATTCCATTCTAGAAGCTAATTAAGCCTAGAGGCCCAATTAGAAAAGAATTCCTTGGGAAGTTGGTAAAAATTCCAAGAATGTGTGAGTACCAGGGAAAGCTATGCCAAAAGTTGAACCATCAAGTGCAATAGCAGAATTTTTTCTATGAGAGTAAAGTGCTAAGTGCTGAAGGGTCTCACTTCTTGAAACCAGTAATGGTTTTTGTAGCATGAAAGGCTTGAAACATATCTCCAGTGTGCTCTGGAAATGAGAAATTCAGACGTAGGACATTTAGAATCTGACAAACAGAAATGTTCAGTGAAAGTCAAGGTTCCTGGGAAGGAGGTTTAGGGGCAAACACTGACTTAGCTAAAACATTTAAGTTATAAACTACCTGTCTTTAGAAAAAGAACCAAAAAATATATAACTCTAAGCCTGCTTTGTATAATGCAGATCAGATGTCTGTTCCATATATAGCTAAATGGAAAATGCCTGTCTCCCCCAAATTCTCCAGCAGAACGTTTATTTAGCTTTTTCAAAAGAGCCGCTGATAGATCAGGGAGAGATATTCCTTATAAGGGAAAGAATGCAGAGAATTTGAGAATAGCCCAGTAAGACTAAAAGCAAGAGAAAGAAGAAAAATGCTACTTCAACTCTTAAGGAAAAAAAAAAAAGAATAATTATTGTAACTCTGTAGTGCCATCATGTCTTTATTGAAAAGTCTTGTTTAAGGGAGCTTTAGAATCAATGGGGTGGGGCAGAAATGGAAACGCAGCTATTTAAAGTCAGCTAGGGGGCGGGGTCAGCAGGGGAGGGAGGTTCTTGAATGGTGTTTTAGTTCCTTTTTTTCCCACTGGAAAATTGTCCCTAAATATGGAATACTTTTTTTTTTTTTGGTAGTGTATTGGTCATCTTCCCCTTTAAGACACTTTAAGTTGTTTAGAACCTCTGGGGATGTTGAAGTCTGTGAAGAAATGCTGTACTATTATGAGTAGCTTAACTATGGTGGATACCTTCTAAGAACTGTGTCATTAGGTGATTCCAGCATTGTGTGAACCTCAGCATGTACAGTACTTACACAGACCTAGATGGTATAGCCTGCTACACACCTATGTGTGGTTCTGTGGTACAGCCTCTTACCCCTAGTCTACAACCCTGTACAAGATGTTACTGTACAGAATACTGTATGCAATTGTGACACAGATCACTAGGCAATAGGAATTTTTGAGCTCCATTATAATCTTATCGGACAAGCGTTGTATACTTGGTCCATTGTTGACCAAACATTGCAGTGCGTGACCGTAGTTAATTTCTGAACTAGCAAAAATAGCCAAGACTTGAGGAGGAAAAGGCAGATGTCACTAGAGAAAGAAGGAAGTCAGAGGGAAAATACGTAGAATCAAATTGTTTAGTTCCAAAGGGGGCTCTTCCTAGTTCAAAAGGTTGTCATTCAGGAGGTAGCATCCCTGATGGGTTTGTTCTGGATTTTTTGTTGTCTTTCTACTCAAGTGAAAAGTGAGGCTGAAGAAGATAGAAGGCTTGTGGGTTTTGTTTTGTTTCTGTTTTTTGGACCCCAATCCCTTCTGCAATAATTGTAATGTATCTATTTGCAAGATGTGAGTCTCTACCCTCTGTAGGTCTTCCTAAATTAGTGATTCATAACTTTTCTAAACAATCACTTAGGGAAGTTTTAAAACCCAAAGTCAGGCTGCACTCCCAGGCCAATTAAATCAGAATCTCTGGGGGTGGAACACAAATGGCAGTAGTTTTTAAATGCCCAAGTGATTCCAACCTTCCGCCAAGGATGAGAACAACTATCCTGATGACATCAGCATGAAAATGAACTCACCTGAAACTGACCTTCCCAGGTGTTTGAAAAACAGGACATTAAGTCACTAGTTGGCTGCTTGGAGCACTTGCAAGGGTCCATCAGTTTCCCTGGCTGTTTCTGCAGATTTCCAGACACTCGCTACCCCCATCCTCAAAGCTGGACGCCCGGAGCCTGTACGCTTAGGGGAGGAGCTGTAACCTCCGGGCCTGCCTGACCAGATGAACAGCCTGGAAACAAAGCAAGAGGCTCCACCTACAGGATGTGAGGGCTCAAGCTGGGGTTTGTGAGAGTCTCAGCAGAGGCTGTGAGAAACGGGACAGAAAATGATCAGAAAGCAAAGGTTCCTTGTTAGGGCTTGGAGGAGGAGGGGATCGTCAAGCATGTTTTCTTTTTCTTCATTATTCCCACTCTTAAACACATCAAGAGCTGACTTTAAGAGCCTTTTTTTGACAAAGATGAGGGGGAAGGGCCATGAGACTTAGAAGGCATTTTAAAACGCAGCCTGGGGAGACTCCAGTTCCCAGAGATGGATTATTTTATGCAGTTAAGGCGAGAGGCTCTCTCATAAGGTTCTGTGGCCCTCTTTGGGATCGATCCTTTAGAAGGCATCCCAGTCCAATGTAGAATTGGCGCTTAGGGGAGGAGCCTCGTTCCAGGCCCAATTCCAGGCAATCTTACAGGCTGGTCTAAGTAAGACCAGAGAGAGCTTTAAGGAGAAGGGACCTTTGAGATGATTGTGTATACCGAAAGCGAGACTTGCTTTTTTTTTTTTTTTTTTTGCAGTTTTTGGCCGGGGCCAGGTTTGACCCACCACCTGCAGTATATAGGGCCAGCGCCCTACTCCTTTGAGCCACAGGCGCCGCCCAAGGCTTGCTTTTGATAACACGGCTGATTATGGGCCCCAGCCTGACTCTTACAATAGTGCAGGTGTATTATTAATAGCTATCATTTGAGTCCTTAACTATGTACAGAGTATTGTGCTAAGCGCTTTCTTATCTCATAATTCTCATAGCAGCCCTCTGGGGAAAGTACTATTATCTCCACTTCTTCAGAAGCCCAGAGAAGTCAAATTATTTACCCAAAGACACAGAGCAGGGAACCAGAAACCAGATTCAACGTAGGAAAACTGCTTTTAGAACAGAAGTTCCAACCACCATGTTCTTTCTGTTACTGGTTTTCACTTCGTTAAGTTTTTGTCTTTTTATTGTTTTATTTTATTTTATTTTATTTTTCGGTGGTGGAGGCGAGGTTGTGGTTAGGTTCTTGTCTTCTGGGATTCTTTACCACAAGGAAACAGTCTACTTTAGGGCACGTTCAGGCTCTAAACTCCTCGCTCAGCTTCTCTCCCTGCTGGGCATGGGAGTCAGGACTCAGGAGCTGAGCGCTCCCGCGGCCACCAGGAGCCGCCCTCGCCTTTAGCAGCCAGGTCCGTTACCCCAGGTCACCACCGCGCCAGGGAGGAGCGCTGAGCATTTAAGGCACTTACGCAGTGTCCTCCGGCCAGCAGGACTCTGCCGGCCAGGTATCCCTGCAGCGAACCCCGCCCGCCGCTGCCTCGAGCATGCGCAATCCCTCCCGTGGGTCTCAAATTCCCAGGATCGGCGGCGCGCGCCCCGCCCGGCCGTAGCAGCCCTAGGCGCTCGCGCACCGGCCTGCGGTTCGTCTGCACCGCCCGGGAGGCCGCGACTTCCGGGCTGCTCCTGGGCCGCAGGGGGCGCCGCAGTCGCGCAGAGCGGACCGGCGTTCGGCGGCAGTGGCGGCCGCAGCGCAGCAGCCGGCCTCTCCCACCGCAGCCCGCCGCCGCCCAGCGCGATGGCGGGGAGCAGCTCGCTGGAGGCGGTGCGGAGGAAGATCCGGAGCCTGCAGGAGCAGGCGGACGCCGCGGAGGAGCGCGCGGGCAGCCTGCAGCGCGAGCTGGACCAGGAGAGGAAGCTGAGGGAGACCGTAAGGGGCCCACCCATCACCCCGCCACCCCCACACACGCTTCCGGGGCGCACCTGGCGCACCTGGGCCAGCTGGTGCCGGCCCGCCGGTCTCTTCTGCCTTTCCCTACGGTCTCGATGGCCTAAAGTAAAAGCTCCGAGGGGAAGCAGGGGTGGTGTTGAGAAGGTTCTGGAAGCAGCACTTTTACTAGAAAGGGGCTTCCTGTCTGGGGTGGTGGCCTTCGGTCCCTCTGGGGTGTGCAGTTTATACTGCTAGCGTTATTTACTCTGAGAGTGGGGAGGGAGGAGGCCCCTCCTTTTGGAGACCCTTCCGTTGGGAAGGGATGTTGACAGATGAAGGGTGTGAGGCACTGCTGGACTTGGGGGTCTGGGGATGCTACAACTCTGCGGTCCCTGGTGACCCCGTGGTTTCCTGGAAGCCTGTTTCTCTGTGTTGGTGGAGACATTGACAGCTGAACAGGGCCAGCTTATATCGTATGCAGGCCTTTTACCGTTCCCTTTCTTCACCATTCCTCCTCCCAAGTTCTCCTATACAGATAGATAGTCCTTTGTTACCGAGTCTTGAAAAAAGTTGGCTGAATGTCAACGGTTATTGGGTGTATTCTCTTGCCGGCTTCCCGTCCCCCTTGTTGAATGTAATACCTGGCTTCCTTCCTTTCTCCTAAGGCAAATGTATCCAACAAACAGGAACAAGATTTCAAGGGTAGTTTAGGTATTTGATATTTGTTGATTTTGAGTGTGTGTGTTTTAAATCAAGATACTCAGACACCTTGGGAATTTTATGACAAGGCATAATATGATGTCCAGCTGTGCTTAACATACAGCACTGTTCTAAGTTGAGTAAATAGTTGTTTGTACTGGCTGTATGGCTGTCTGCAGACCTGTTTGGCATAAAATATCAAGAAGCCAATGGGTCCTCTTCAGCGGAAAGCCTAACTAGAGGGAATCTCAGATAAAATACAGACAGGAATAAGGAAATCAAAAGGCGAAAGTAATTTTCAGTATTTGCTTTAGAGGGTAAGTCAGCAAAAACCCTGTGATGTCTCTGAATTTGGCTAGGCGATAAATGAATTTCACCTTCCTCTCTGGCTAGCTGCTGTCCTTGAACCATTAGAACTGATAAAACATGATGGATAAGAACAAGAACTCTGCACCCAGACTGCTAAGCTTTGAACCCTGGCTCCACTTCTTACTAACTATGGGCAAGTTACTTAATCGCTCAGTGCCTTGGTTCCCTGGGTGCAAAATGTGAGCAATAATAGCACCTGTGTGTGGGTTAAAGCAGGTGGTTGTAAAGACGCTACAGTGGTGCTTGGCACAACAGTGAGTGCTGAGTGTCAGCTGTTATTACACTACACAGCACTGGCATCTCTTTCAGTTTACCCAGCAAGGGGTCTTAAAAATGGCCCCTTGACATCATAAAAACACCGTTTAATGCTTTTAATCAACAGTATTTTATTTTTGGAACTTGAATGGAGGGAGGAAGTGGGCAGACTAGAAGGAACATTTGCCAGGTTTAGTGGTGGAAGTCAGAAGAACTCCCCTTACCCTGCTAAGAATTGGAATGTGGGATCCTGTACAGGAGGGCCTTGTACTGACTCCTGGCCTAGAGTCACATAGAAGATAAATTTTATGAGGAGCAGTTATTACTTTTAAATTTAACCTTCCATTTTGTGCATCGTTTCTATGCCGGTACTCTTCCTGGTCAGTTGGCTAAACACAGTGCTTTCATTCTTTCCAAAGCTTTATGTCAAAAGTGCAGTTTCATGTTTTAAATAAACTTTGAGAACAGTCTACCTGGGTAAGGACTGGACACAGAACCTTATAAGACAACCATTTGAGGACTGGGTCGTATCATTGAAGAGAGACTGTCAAGTTGAAAATTGTCCCTAACTTCTGAAAGTGGAACTTAAGCATAGCTGATTTAAGTAGTTGTTAAACCTAGCTTGGGCTGTGAGTTGAGCTAGCAGTAACAGTTTCTCTTGGCAGCAAAGATAAAAGGTTTAGTGACTAAGCCACGAACCACTGCAAAAAAAAAATTTGACCGGAAAGTTGACCTAAACTCAAATACTCAAAGGTTCAGACAGGCTGGAGTTAATAGCCTCTATTAATCCAAAACTTACCTTGGTAAAAAGCAGCCATCCCTTATTTCCTCCTGGTTTGTTTTCCCAAGGTGTGTGGGCCCTTGAGAATGTGGGGATGAGGGGACTTTGCTTGGATGTAATGATTGACTAGGTCTCCTAACCTACTCAGGTTTTGTTTGTTTTTTGTCATTGTTAAAAAAAAAAAAAAATACCATAAGGAGTAGATCTCTTTCCTCCTTTCTGGGTAGTACCCAGCAAACAAGGAGACTTAGCAGCTGTAGCTGGTCAGTTCTTAATTGGTAACTTTGTTCAAATCACGGGAAACAACCAATCTACAAAAATTTCCATCCCGTTTCCTCTTAGATTTGGTAGATATTTCTGGGATGAGGAAACTAAGTGCATTTTGTGCTTGCATTGGCACTCCCAGAGTGGCTGTAATTGGAATGTGTACCCTCAATTCTGCCTTCGTATGTAGGCAGGGTGGAGGCGCTGCAATGCCTTGTTCATGTCTGTTCTCCCTCATTATACAAATATGTCTCAGAAATTATGGGCTTTGGCACAGATAGAGGAGGTTGTGTTTATCTATTATGCATGGGAGTGCCCCTTAATGTCATCAGTGGGTTTTTTTTTTTTTCCCCTTTTCTTACCATATAAGGGCAGAAGTTTAGCTTGGCTGTGGTCACTTGGTCTTACAGAGCAAGTTGAGTGAAATCTTCTCTGTATAACTGCTGTTTGCATGAAATAAAAAGATCTGACCTTTGATCATCCCATGTTCCGCAGTGGTTCAGGCAGGACTTTGGAAATATATTCCAGAGGATTTTCTTTTCTTTTTTTTTTTTTTTAAGGATAGTATATGCCCCCGGTATTCTTAATAGCCTTAACTAGAATACCATTTTTTTAAAATAAAAGTCACTTCTACTTTTAATTTTTGTTGTACCATTGGCTAAAACATCTGGACTTCATGAGAAAGCCTTGTAAAAGTGTTTTTGTTTGCTTGGGTTTTTTTATCCACAGATCCGATCTGTTGTAATATTTTCCTGTATTGGGATGGGCATGATCCTGACTCCTATCTAGTGTCTTGTTGGCGGTGGGGAATGGCATTATATGCCCTTGTTTTCTGTATAGATACTATCACCTCGGGGAAGGGTCGTGTGCAATTCTAAGGCCCCTCACAAGTGCAGAGCGTTTGGAGGCTGTTTAACAACAAATCTTCAGGAAGACATTGGTAGCCTTTATTAGCAGAGCAGTGCCCTTTTCGAGTAGCTCATTACATGTTGGAACACAATAGCACTTGTGAAGTGAAAGAAACCAGCATCCCAAACTGAAATTGGGATTGACTTCACTGGCAGCCAACACATGGGCCATTGTTAAAGAGAGCTAACCCAGTACACTATGGTTGATTTATGTGCCTGGAAATAATTTGTATCTGGGGTCTTGACCTCCACGCATGCCTTGTTGTTTATACCTGGTTTTAAATACAGATAGTCGTGTGATGGGCTTCTACTGACAGAGGCAGCAGGTCCTTAAGACTGCCCAGGTACTGTGATGAAAGGAACCTCAGAAAACATCCAAATAAGCCTCAAAACTTAGGGAGAAAGTACACTGGGAATGAAGGCTAGTGAAGTTAACAGGTGTGAGGCTTCTTAGGTATAAAGCATAAGAAGTCAGGAAGAAAAAGTAAAAATAAGAAAGAGAAAGAAGTGTCTTTTAAGTCATAAAATAAAACATATCTTGAATTTTAAGGAACCAAACAGAAGTTTTGATCAGTCCAGCATAACAAGACTTGCAGAGCCTGTCAGAGTCCAGGGTTTTCCCATAAAGATCGACGTGCCTCAGGCACTTCTCCCAAGTCCTGACTTTAACCTACAAGTACCTTTGCCTGTCCTCTGTGACCTCTAAGGCAGTAGACATTGACTTCTCGGCTACAGAGCAAATATTCTTGTCCATGTATGAGCCGTTACCTGTTAGTGTTATTTTTTGACATTTTCTATTTCATACCCTACTTTATTCCAAAAAGGATTGAGATACTTGCTCAGTAGATGGTTTTCATACCAATAATTGTTCCCTAGTCCTAGTTGTGGTCTGTTCCCGAAGGCCTTTCTTGGGGAATTGGGGTGGGTGGTGTGCGGGAGGGTAGGAGAATTTCCCAAGCTGATATCAGAAGAGAGAAAAACTCCAGGAGTAAGAAATGCCAATTCAAAAGTTTCCGGGAGGCCAGGAGGAGAAGTGACAAGTGGAGAGCAGGCACATGGGAAGCCAAGGAACTTGGGTTTTAGTCTTGTCTCGCACCGATGGCTGTGTGGCCCAAGCATACGTCAGCACTCCCGCTCAGAGTTCTCCCCCCCCCCTTCTCTATATAACAATGAGCAGCTTCCACAGAATTTTCCAGCTCCTTTGGGTGGTGGTTGGAGGAATGAAGGAGGTTGCTTATTTATAGAGCAGAATCTCCACACACACACCCATCCCCTATCCCACACCAACTCCCTGAATCAGAATTTCTAGGGATGGGACCTGGAAGTTTGTACTGTTCATTCTCATCTGCTGGTTGATTCTGACACTCAGCCAGTCGGAACTGCTAACTTGGATGGTGCCTAAGCACCCTGCCAACTAAAAAATTGAGATTCCACTTTTCAGACTTATAGGCACTCCTCAGGAGGGGCCAGCTGCCTGCAGGTCTGCTCCGTGTGTGCATACCACTCCGTGTGTGCATACCGTGTCTTGGCTTTGTGTGGCAGCCTGGCTCCTAGAAACAGTCTCCATTCTCCATCATGCCAGGCACCCTGTGGGAGGCCCTGTTGGTATTCCTGTAGGACATATGCCCTAATGTCAAGGACTCTAAGGTTCTACAGGCTGATCCTGGGGGGCAGCAGGTGACATTTATACAGAAGCATCTTGCTGAACACAGTGCCAGGAGCTAAGAGAAGGAATGGTTGGGGGTGGGGTGAAGAAGAGGAAGGACATACATTGATTGGTGGTTTTACTCATTTTTTTTTTTGAGCCCATACTCTGTGCAGAGAACTAGATGTTGATAATTGTAACAATTTCCTATGACAGGATGTGACAGTTGCCTCCATAGAAAAGAAACATTTCAGAGATAGATACCAAGTAAAAATAGTATCCGTGTTGCTCTCTTTAGGCGTTTGATACTTTTCTTCACTTGTAAGAAATTTCATAGGCTGATGTTAAAAACCCTTGGCAAATTTTCTTGGCTCTATTCCAGCGTAAGCGGCTATTCTAAAGAAGTTACTGAAAGAGTCGGGGGTGGGGTGAGAGTTACTAGAATGAGTTGGCTCTATGTATGGTATATATTTTAAAACCAGTGACTTTTAAAATAATTCTAGTTCCTTTGTAAAGCTCCTCTGAGAAAGTGGCTAGGAGAAAGAGTTGTATGAAACTCCTGAGTCTGACTTCTGAGTGTACTGCTGTTATCTTATGTGCCTGAACCTGAGTGAGTCTTGGTGTCTCTGCACACACGTCAGGCCCAGAGGCAGCTATGATAAAGCTCTCCTTTAATGTTGAAATAAAGCCAGGGCATTAAAATCTATGGAAGAAAGGAGAGAATGTCTGTCCGATGAGAATCGTGTGCATAGGTTTGTATATTCCCAAATGTGGATGTGCCTTGTGTAAATGAATGTAAAAAGTGTTTCTGAGAACTCCAGAGTTGACTACGGCTTGCAATGCCCTGAAAGGTAGCTCACCACAGGGCTCGGGCGTCCTGACTGAAGTCAGCGTTTCCGTCCCAGCCTCTTCCTGAAGGCCACTTCCCTCACTTTCTCTCCAACTCTGGAATGCTTTTCACTCTCTGCCTAGGCGGAAGCCGATGTAGCTTCTCTGAACAGACGTATCCAGCTGGTTGAGGAAGAGTTGGATCGGGCCCAGGAGCGTCTGGCAACAGCTTTGCAGAAACTTGAGGAGGCCGAGAAGGCAGCAGATGAGAGTGAGAGGTGAGAACGCCCCATCCGGCCACCTTTTAGCTCAGGCCCTTCCTCCTGGTGGAATGAACAGGAGGGCTTCTCTGATCTCCAAGGTTTAAGGATTTTACAGGTCCCTGGGGGGTTCATTTCCTCCATTCATCCTAGGTACAACTTGGTTGGTTTTGTTCATGTAACATCAGTGGAATACTTACTGTGTGTCAAGTACCGTTCTCAGCCCCAGAGTTATAAAAAGAAAAAGATGTCCTGCCTGCCCTCAGAAAGTGGACCATCCCGTGAGGGAGACAGAAACGTAAACAAGAAATTGCAGGGATACGTGTTGGTTCTTTCATTCCTACTAATCATAGAGCAATTGTGCATTTTTTAAAATACATAGTATAGCTTTATTCTCATATATAAAGAGTATAATGGACGGCATGACTGACTGCATTCACCTGCCCGGGTCAATGCACAGACAGACACACTCCCGGTGTTCGGAGCCCCTTCAGTACTTAACTTGAGAATATAAGATTCTCACAAAGAATCTTAAGCCCAGATAAAAAGAGCTGTGGGCTGTCTTGTGTCAGCCTAATAAGTAGGTGGAAGAAAAAGCACAGGTAACTCAGAAATGTAATCTGCAAAAGTCAATTATTTGGGGCTTGGACTTAACCCAGATGAGACACGTGCACACAAACAGTCCGGTGCGCATGTGTTCTGAGTCTGCCTCCTCCTAACCTGGCTCTCCCTGACTTAATTCTCCAAGATTCAGCTTTTGGACCATAGACCAGCACTGCCTGGGGTGTTCTAGAAAGCATTTCTCTTATGCTCATTTGTTCAAGTTAATGTATTTGCCATGTTGCACAGATACACTCTAAGAAAGACTCCATGAGACGAGAGTGTTCTGCTGCTTAATGGACAGCGCGGCAGTACTGAAGGGGCTCCAAGCACCGAAAGTGTGTCTGTCTGTGCGTTGACCTGGGCAGGTGAATGCAGTCAGTCATGCTGTCCATTTCTCCATATTCAAAGTGATCCTGCCACCAGATATACAGAGTAGTTTCAGACTTTAACTAAAAAGCTTCTTTAAGTCTAAAGTTTTCAGCTTATTATTCACTCTTGCTTAGTGTTTCTTCAAGAGTTTTGGAATTCTTTAAGATGACTAGTCATTTCTTACAGTGTACACGTAACAGTGGTTTTGTGGCTGACTTTCTTTCTGGAAAACTTACCCTTGAGCCGGAGTCCTCAAACTACGGCCCGCGGGCCACATGCAGCCCGCCTAGGACATTTATCCTGCCCATTGGGTGTTTTCGCTGCTGCTGCCTATCCTGCTTAACAGCCGACTCGCCCCAGGGCCCACAGTCCGGCCCTCCAATGGTCTGAGGGACAGTGAACTGGCCCCCTATTTAAAAAGTTTGAGGACCCCTGTCCTTGAGCCTTAAAGGCAACCTATTAATGTTAGACTTTGGAGTAAAAGGAACTTAGAAATCATTTACTACAGTCCCTTGGTTTTATATATGAAAAAACTAGGGCTCAGAAACTTATGAACCTGCCCCAAGGCTCATAGCATATTAGTAGCTAAGCCAAGGCTAGGTCTCAAGTCTCCTCATACAGATTGTTTTTCTTTATTTGAGATAAGGTCTCTGTCACCCAGAGTGGAGTGCAGTGGCACCTTCATAGTTCTCTGTAACCTCAAACTTGTTGACTCAAGCATTCTGCTCACCTCAGCCTCCTAAGTAGCCAGGACCACAGACATGCACCACCACACCTGGCTAAGTTTTTTATATTTTATAGAGACAGGATCTCACTATATTGCTCAGGTTGGTCTCATATTTTTTCCTTAAGCAGTCCTCCTGCATTGGCCTTCCAAAGCACTGAGATTATAGGTGTGAGCCACCATGCCCAGCCTCCTCAGATAGATTCTATTCCTTCATCAAAAACTTGTGGTTTATTTGCCTGCTTAAATTTTAGTAAATTTAACTAAATTTAACATGACCCATAACATGTTAACCCATTTTAACATGATTGCTTATTCCATATATCTGTAAAATTCCACACATCAATTAACATTTTCTGAAACATAACCCCATGCCATAGGACTCTAATATACTCATTAGCATAGAACATGGTGTCGGGCCTGCCTCCCACCCCATCAGGAAAGGGGTGCATTAAGGGAAAAACTTAAGTATTCAGTTGAACCATAGCAAATTACCATTTTTACTAGTCTGAAATAGTCCAATATCAGCAGTTTCATGTGGACCAGACTATATATATATATTTTTAATTTAATGTGCATTAACATTTTTGCCATCATTTTCTTAAGTCTGATCTTTTTTTTTTCTTTTGAAACAGAGTCTTACTTTGTCACCCCGGTACCCACAGCTCAACAGCTGTAACCTGTTGAGCTCCTGACACAGCTCACAGGAACCTCAAACTCTTGGGCTCAAGTAATTCTTGCCTCAGCCTCTCAAGAAGCTGGGACTCTAGGCACTCACCACAACACCTGGCTATTTTTAGGGACAAGGTCTCACTCTGGCTCAGTCTGGTCTCCAACTCATGAGCTCAACCAATCTACCTGTGTTGGCCTCCTGGAGTACTAGGATTACAGGTTTGACCCACTGCACCCAACTTCAGACTATATTTTTATTTGCAGTCGACAGAGTAAAAAGCTTCTGTGTAGAAAGAGGTACTTAAAGATAAATTTGCTTTTGTTCTAGCAGTGGTCCATTTGCAAGCACAGGCTTCCTGCAAGAAAGGAAAGGAATACCATTATATATTTGATACATAAGGCATGTTGGCTTTTTCTGTTTCCATACCTCTTAAATTCAAACAGGATCCTGGCCATGGTACCTTTCATTTAACATTAGATGCCTGGACAGTTTCAGCAGTACCCCAAATCTGAGATTTCATTCACAATGAACAGAGAGAAATGTTTGTCTTTTTTCTGCCTTTAGCTCTGGAAAGTCTTGTTCCATGGTGTGGAATATAAAAGTAACTCTGTGCTCTATTTTGGTCCTCACAGACCACAGCAGTGCAGTGTTTATTTGGGGAGGTCAGCTCTAAATCTTGGGTTTTCCTGCTTGTCTTTCTCTTCAGAGGAATGAAGGTCATTGAAAGTCGAGCCCAGAAGGATGAAGAAAAAATGGAAATTCAGGAGATCCAACTGAAAGAGGCCAAGCACATTGCTGAAGATGCCGACCGCAAGTATGAAGAGGTCAGATCCTGAGGCCCAAAGCCTCGTGGGCTTCTAGCAGTGGCCTTCAGGAGGGCAGGGAGCAGCATACAGCCTTAATTCCTAAGATAAGCAGTCTGCTTCCTTGGCAGAAATGGGTGGTTCTGAGAAGCAAAAGTTCCTTTGTCTCCAGAAAATGGTTCATGTTTTGATCCTGCTAGGGGATCCCAGGCTTTATTATAAAGCTGTTGAATAGCACTGGGAAGAAAGACCACAGCTCTTCTCCTCCACTCCCAAAGGGATAAGAGATATTTCTCTGGCCAGGAGAAAGGAGAGTTGGAACACTTGTGTCTTGTGAAAGGAGGTTCTCAACTCTGCCATGGTGCAGGCGGTTCTTACCAGCATGATTCACCTGGCATGCCCTGTTCAAGCAGCTTAGAGACCACAGACCATGCAGTTACTTGATAGATTCATTCATGGAGGTCTCTCTCCTCAAGGGTTGTAGGAACCCATTGTCAGTGCAGGTTTTTGGCTGAATCAGCTCCTGGTCATGTCCTCGTGAAAACAACCTCCTGTGGCAACAGAGCCAACATTGCCATTAATGTTTTAGTTTTTCCTTATTGTATCACAAGGCCATGAAACGGCATCGACCCTCCTTTTTATTGTTATTATCTTCAGATTACACTCTGCTCACTAATCTTGAATTGCATCAGAGTATCCTTTCTCCTCTCAGGTTTGACTTTGTTAATCATTTCACCACCTTTTCTCATGTTAGCTTCTCTTGTATTCTTCCTCCTCAAAGAGGAGGTTGATGCACCCCAGCTCTAAATTGATGGGGTGCTCAGGTTTATTTTCAGTGTCTTCCTGACACCTGTCTTCCCCCACCTTTTCAGTATAAAATACATCATGCCTCACCCTACTGCTATTTTTAAGGTTATGAATTTCATATTGCTCTCTCCTTCCACATTTTGGTCTGGCCGCTGTGTAATTATACACACACCTAGTGCAGACTTCAGTTGACACTGCCCAGTCGTAACTAACCACTCTGGGTCTTTGTGAGCAGAAGCCTCTCACCACCTCTCTGTGGCTACTCCTACCAGAGAGTTGCTTCTCTCCAGTTGACTGGAAAGAGGATCATCATGTTTGTAGACAAAGACCTTTAGGGGCTGATGGGATCTGATCCCCACTCCCACGTCCTCCTGCGCAAGCTTGCAAGCCCCATGGTGTCTGTGTGTGCTGTGTTTTGCTGCTGCAGGTGGCCCGCAAGCTGGTCATCATTGAGAGTGACCTGGAACGTGCAGAGGAGCGGGCTGAGCTCTCAGAAAGGTAAGCAGCCCTGGCGCCCAGAGGCCACGTGTGGGGTGCTGCAGAGCAGTGACTAAACAGCATGACCTTCTGGCAGCTGCACATTTACCTGTTTCAGCTCCGGGCTCCTTTTGTGCTCATTTGATGCGGATGAGCCACGAGTATGGAACGTGGAGGACTCGTGTGGGGTGTCTATGTATGAATGCGTGTATCACTGCATGCCTTACCTGCACACTGATTTTGTGAATGGCCTTGTGCATTTCCTGTGTCCACTAACAGCCAAGTTCGACAGCTGGAAGAACAATTAAGAATAATGGATCAGACCTTGAAAGCATTAATGGCTGCAGAGGATAAGGTACTGATGGTTCATGTGTGGTTTTGTAGGTTTAACTGCAACCCAGATGTCTTTCAGCTTCCAATGCCTCCTGGTTGGTTTGGTATAACGACTGCACCTTCACTACACCCTCTGCTATACATATCTTGCTTTAAGTGCTTTCCCTTGGTCCTTTATGCTCCTTTGTTTTTCCCTTCATAAATGCTTCTTTGGGGAGCCAAAAAAGAAGCCAAGTTATCATACTTCAGAGTTGGGGATTGTTACCTTGCCTTTCTGTTATTGCAAGGTCGGAGGGACAGCAAAATGGATATTTCAACACCTGATGACTTGGCTACTTTAAGGCAGCCCATCGTCTCTAGGACTTGGTTTTCATTTTTTCCCCTCCCTCTCCTTTTTCTCTCCTTCCTTTGGCTTGTCTCCCACCCTTTCTGCCTCTGATCGAAAACATTAGCAAATGTGCCGAGCTTGAAGAAGAATTGAAAACTGTGACGAACAACTTGAAGTCACTGGAGGCTCAGGCCGAGAAGGTAGGCCAGGAGCATGGCGTGGGGGAAAAGGCATCTTTTAAGAGCTGCACGAAAGAGGCGAATTTTTCTTCTTCTAAGGGCCTGCTGATAAAAGCCAACAGTCCAGTAGACATTTTAGTACATGGCAACATTGCAAGGGCATTTCCTGCTGGTTAACGGACAGCAGATTATTTTTTTGAATAGAGAATTTGTTAGGTACGTAAGTCATCAATTTAATTTAAACCAAGTGCCAAATGGATAAGTTATCTTGTTCTCATCCCATGTAAAACAATAGGGCAGAAGGCAGAGACTGTATTGTAGTATGCCATTGGATATCAGAGGTTGTGTTACCTCCTGAGAGCTCTTTAACATCTGGTGGCTGGGCTGGCGCGTTCTCTGCGTTGGAAGGCATGAGGAGAGTGAGCTGCAGCCTGACATCTGGAATGCTCTTTCTAATTACAGTACTCTCAGAAGGAGGACAAATATGAAGAAGAGATCAAGGTCCTTTCTGACAAGCTGAAGGAGGTAATATTATGAAAGTTTTGTATGAAACCAACCGGATTTTAAATGAATTTGTTTTCACGGAGTGGTCAGGGATTTTTCATTTTAAGGTTAATAGGATTCAACTCAGGAATATGCAGAGGTGGTCTTGGAGTGTATGAGTTGTGCTAGCTGCCAGCTCTCGTGGTAGTTTCTGTTGAAACTAACAAGTACTTTCAGACCATTTTTACGAGTGATATGCTTCATTTTCATCCTTGAGTCTTTCCTATATTTGTAGCTACTGGAAACATAAAACTTCCCAACTTTGACTCAGATAAATTAAATCATTACAGGCTGAGACTCGGGCTGAGTTTGCGGAGAGGTCAGTAACTAAATTGGAGAAAAGCATTGATGACTTAGAAGGTAAGATCTTAAGTGTCGTTTTTAATTTCATCCTTATGGTTGAATACTGACCTGGCAAAATGATTTTCCATTCCAAGGGCATCCGCCTTGATACACTTCTTTGCTCTTGCACATTCTTCCTTTCTGTCCTCTGGAGTTTTCATCTGTGGCTCTTAAACTCTTGGACCTGAGTCCTCTGCTCACAAGGTGACTGTTTAGCCACCAGCCATTATGGCAAATGCAATCTCACTCTACTTCATGTTCATCAGAAGGGTGACAGGTGCATTTTTCCTTGTGAGTGAGGTGCTTACAGGTGCTTATATACTCTAATATATTTGGTATCTTTGTTTTTAGGTACAACTCATCTTCTTCCAAGTTTTAATTCAATGCATGAGGTTTTCTTTTTAGTTCATTTGTTACCTTAGCAAAATAGTCTATATCTTCAAAGAGGGGGAAATCAATAGAGCATTGTATTTGAGATTATACTTAAGCATTTCTCCCCTAAAAAATATAGGTTTCATTTTAGTAAAACCCATCGTATCTCACAGAAATCCTAAAGGTTCAGCTTTGAGGCTTGCGAAGGGTTAGCTGTGAAAACAAAAAAGTACATATAATCCCAAGCAGAAGGGTTAGAGGCAAGACTAGGGCTTGGTGTGCAGATAATAACAAAGTGGAGAGGACAGAATGACAAATGATTGCAAAACAACATGCCCGAGGGCAGCAGAGTGGGAAGCCTTCATCATTACAGAAACTAAATTGCACCCCTGCCACAGTGCTACCATAAGAAGCGTGGCTCTCTGCTTTGCAAGGCTCCTAGACCAGTAACAGGCAGCTTGAGTGGGAAGACCACAGGAGTAGTCTAACTGACACTAAGAAATGGATATCCCAGTGGTCTAGCTTGGTCAGGAAGTCAGTGGTTTGAAGGTGGAACCAGATAAGAATTGCTGGCTATCATCACAAATTGTTCTTCCAAAACACTGCCCTCGATGTTTTTTTTTTTTTTCCATTGTTTACAGCTGCAGGTGGCTGACTTACTCCAGTGTTATTAAAATATAGCTGTGCAAAAAAAAAACCAAAAGGTTCCATTACCCACCCAGGAGACAGCTTTCTGTGGTTGTTTTTTATTTTTTTTTTTTAGGATTTAACATGGTTTACTGATATACCTACCATATTTGTTATGATTTTCATATTGAGTCTTTCTCATTTTATTTTCTAATGGGTTTTGTTCTCTCTGTTTTTGTTTCGATTCATTTAAAAAACCAAACGCACGCCTCCTGCATTGGCCACCTGCTGCGGCACCAACCCCTTCATGCATTGCCCTTTCCTTGCTGCTGTGTGGGGATGGCGCCCACGCCACCCTCGCTCACCCTCCATCTCTTGATCACTCTCCATGTCCTTGCACCTCTGCCTTCCACTTCCTGGTCATAGACGAGCTGTACGCTCAGAAACTGAAGTACAAAGCCATCAGCGAGGAGCTGGACCACGCTCTCAACGATATGACTTCCATGTAAATGTTCATCCACCCTGCCTGCTCACATCCATGCCTCATGCTAATGGGAAAAACTCACCACTGCTCGCTTCTTTGCTCTTTGATCTCCATCTTTGCACCCTTTAGTTCCCTCTCCTTTGTGTAACTTAGAGTAGTTGTTTTTGCACTTTCTACTAATACGAACGCCAAGTAGGTGAAGTCTGTATGAATCATTTTCCTTTCAGAATCGTTTCATTTTGTAAACGCTGAACCAGATTAGTCTCACGGAGCAGTGAACTGGAAAATGAATGACCATGAGCACTGTCTAATCAAACTAAAAAGGCCGTGCAATGGCAAAGGAACTTCTCAAGAAATACCAGAAATTGGTTTCCTGAGGTTCAATTAAGTACCATGTGATCATTTTCATAAAAGAAATATAAATGTAAGGAAACCCTGAAGTATCAGGGTATTAAGGATCTAAAGAAAAGGAAATTGGCAAGATCCCACACAGATTAAAGAATGGTGCTATAAAAGATCATCTCATCTTCACGTTTAAGAATTTTAGAGTAGGCCAGGCACAGTGGCTCACACCTGTAGTCCTGGTACTCTGGGAGGCTGAGGCAGGAGGATCACCTGAGGTCAAGAATTGGAGACCTGCCTGAGCAAGAGTGAGACTCTGTCTTTACAAAAAATTAGCTGTGTGTCATGGCACACGCCTGTGGTCCCAGCTACTCAGGAGGCTGAGGGAGGCAGGAGGATGGCTTGAGCCCAGGAGTCTGAGATTGCAGTGAGCTGTGATGATGCCACTGCACTCTACCTGAGCAACTGAGACCCTGTGTCAAAAGAAAAAAAAAAAGCTAAAGTAAACTGAATCCTCTGCTGAGACACCAAGCCTCTCAACCCTCTAATTTTCTGTTTATATGAAAGGAATTAACCCACAATAAATATTTACTACAGCCTGTGTCAAAGAAATGGGAAATAAAGCACAGATTATACAATGTGGGTTTGGGAGTTAATGGCCCAGATTTTACTGTGAAGCAGTAAGGGTTAGTTAGAGTAGGTAGCAAACATACACAACTAATTCACATGTTACTAACCACACTTAAGCTTTTTCTTCTACCTCTTTAAATTCTAACCTGGAATGTTTCACGGAGGTTCTCCATTCTAATATCACGCTGGATTCCACTGAAGCTAGAAGTGTTATTTTCCAGGCCTACCTGTCATTCCTTTACCCATACAGAAAAATGACAGCTTGGAGAGTGTGGCCTGTGCCTGCTGCTGCCTTAGAGGTTATAAGATCTCAACCAGAAAAGCCCTTAGAGACATGACTGTCACCATGGAAATGAGAGAGACTCTGGTCTTCTCTTCCCTCATTTGCAAATAAGGGGACGGATCACATCTGTCTCTAAGGTCTTTTCCACTGCTAAAATGTGGCGATTCTATGGAAAAACTTTTACAGTCAAGCATGATTAAATATTCTGAGAGGGAGGGGTTTAACTTAAATTTGTTTTTCAAGTCTGCTCCTGGGTCTTCTTAAAATGGACCCTTACTCACAGGGGCTGGTGGTGGCCTCAGGTGCAGACCGGTGGGCAGGGATGGAGATCCTCCCTAGGCTGCGGCGGGCAGGGCGTTTTGCATGCCTGCTGTCTGGCTCTGTTTCAAGTGCTACCCTCACCTGTGAGTTTGGTTTTCCGTTTTTCCATTGTGCCACTTTTTCTTTTTCTCCCATCTTTTATCTTCACACAGATAAATTTCTTTGCTTCACTTCTCTCAAGACTCCTCCTTGGAGCTGGATGTCCCACCTCTCCGCTCTGCGTTTTCCTGGCTCTCTCTCTTAGCACCCTGCCTTAGAGCCAGGCTCACACTGTGCTTCCTATTGTACAGAAGCTCTCCGTTTCAGTGTAAAATAAACACTGTGTAAGCTATTTCTGTTTGCTATTCTTTTTACGTATTTATTGACATTTTAGTTTCAACACTGAATAAAACGACAAATCTGCTTCACACATATGAGGGTTACTTCTTGGCTGCTGCTTTTTTCTTTTTTCTTCTGAACGTTGTACTTTAATATCAGGAATTCCTAAAGTAAATAGTTAATAGTTCCTTGTGGAACTTTTAGAAAATGCCCAGGCCTGCATCCCTCTCTGAGGTTTGGTTTCCAAAGGTTAGAGTGAGGCTTGGGCATCTGTGGGATTTTTTTTTTTTGGAAATTGCGACGGTTCTGCTATGCAGTAGGGGTTGAGAACCTCTACCGGGGGACATTGATTGCTTGTTAGGAGTCAGAAGATCTGGCTTGATCGGTGTCTCCCTCTGCCAGAGGTTTAGTTTGGGATGTGGTGGTTGATGTGGAGGCCCTGCTTGGGAGGACATGGCTAACGAATGCAAGGCTCATGATGAATGGCTCCATGGCTGTTCCACAAGTGCTAGGAATTTACACATTGGGAAAGGAAAAACAGAACTTGGATGCAGACGATGTAAGCTGTAGTTATTTTTGTTCATCCTTTACAGCTCAAAGATAAGTTCAGGCTTTTTCAAAGTCTATTCATCACTCACCCACCTCATTTTGATCACGAAAATGACCTATTAGGTTTTCTGGATATGGTTACTCTGTTCAAAAGAGGTGAAATGCTTTTTAAAGTATCTTTAATACTGTGAATTAAAGTATCTTAGTAGTAGTGTGATAGCGTTCTTAAAATTTAGACTCTGCCTTGAGAGTATAAGGACTTGTTATTTCATATCTTTTCCTAAGGCTCCTTGGGCCTGCTTCTGTCCGTGATCCCTGCCTTGTTCTCCTTTAAATTAAGAATAATATAAAATATGCCTTACTTTGAGTAGCCCAGCTTCCTACCATAGACAAAATGGCCAGTCTGAAAGTTCTGCTGAGCGGATGTTCAGTTAATTCTGAAAGCACATCTGTTTTGGGGAAACCCTTCTGAAAACTTGAATACTTTCTATAAGTTCAGACTCTCCTAAGGGAAATGGGGAGCTTATGGATTGGGAAGGCAGGTCTAGAGTAGCCCAAGGAAGTATGTACACACAAGAGGATAAACAGCTAGTTTAGTTTCAAGAAATTGGAAGCCAGGCTGCTAATTCAGAGGGCCAGGCCATAGCAGATGCTGCAAGAGGAATAAACCAGAAGCACCACTGAGTCTGGGCACTAGAGGCCTCCGCCATCTGGGAGTCTCCATAGAAAAGGAGGAGAAAACACTTCCAAGGGTATAAATGTGTCTGCTCCCTGCCCCTGGGCCTCTCATGGTACCAGCTCCCTGGCAGCTGAAGTGGAGAAGGTTCCCAGGACGCTGTGGGAGGGACCGGTGTCTTTCAGCCGAATTCACATTGACCATCTGGATTCTCTAGGGGTTCTGCAAACTTCTTCCATTCCAGCTTGACCAAACATGTGGGCTCAGCTAACCAAGGCAGCTTGCCCGCCCATAGTGACAGTGCCCTTTGTCAGTAGTGTGACTATATAAAGGGATTTACATTTTGCAACCCCCAATCATATGCCACAGGCAAGATGCTGTGGGAGGTAGTGGGGGTGTGGTAAAGAGATGAGCTGGCTCTGTCGTGGGAAGATAAATGAGAGAAGCACGTCTGGAGGAGCAGGCATTAGGCATTTAGAGCCAACAAGGAAAAGAAGAATTCTGACCGGAACAGGTCCATTTGACCCAGGTTTTGAATATTCAGAAAATCTGGATTAGCAAAGAGGACAAGACAGTGGGTATTTCATGCTAGAAAACATAATGGGCACAGACAGCATCTTCCCATCTCCTGCCGTTTATGAGACTGTTAATGTGAGAATTGCTCAATATCCCAAGAGCCCTGCTGGCTGCTGATGACATATTTTCCCCAAGGGCAGGATTGTTAGCTTTTCAAGGTCATTAAGTATTTCTAAGTCCAGCTTGTCACCATCATTCAAAGCAACCTTCTACCTCCTGGTGGGTTCCAAGCATTTGCCTGTCATTGTTTAGGTATCCCTTGGATGTCAGCTACAGACAGACTCTTGTGGCTTGCTTCCTAGCTATATGAGCAAATTGCTTATCAGAACGTGAAGAGTATATCACACTGGTCCTCTTGTAGATGTTCCAAATTCTACTCACTTTAGCACCCACCAAACATGAGTGCCATCCTCTTGCTGGCAGATAGCAAGCAAATACATTCTTAATCAGTAATTAGTGGTGATAATGCTTGTTCCTTTACTGTTTGAATAGGGTAACACACTGTCAAGGTTGGACAAGAGTTTAGAATGTGTATGCTGTATCATGTTGATGAGGGAGGGGGTGGCGGGGATGGGGGGGAGACAGGGACTTAGTTCTGCATTTCAGATTTTTTATGCAGCAGAAACAGTAGCCCCTGCTGGATATTACTTGAGGGTAAAGCCTCCCCGATGAACATAGAGGAAGAGGTGGGCAGAAATGGGCAGTGTGAGGTTTACCCGCAGTCCTCCACTGAGCCCCCTAGCAAGGGGTGCAGATGAGCTGGGTTCACCTGCAGCCAGGCCTCAGTTCCCAAACCTGTTGCCAGAAAGTGTATGGCTCAGTTCACAAGGTGGTTTAGTGAAATACAAGAGGAACATTCCCTCTTCCTTTTCCCATATTGTCTCCTCTCCTCTCCTCTCCTCTCCCCCCCCTTCCCCTCCTCTCTCTCCTCCCTCTCCTCCCCTCTCCTCTTCCCCCCTCCTCCCCTTCTCCCCTCCTCTCTCTCCTCCCTCTCCTCCCCTCTCCACCCAACCAAAGGAGAAATTCTTGCTCCTCCTAAGTCTGCTAAACCTTTTACCATCCATCCTTCTGGGCACAGGACAGATGACCGTGGGGTAAGAGTACACTGCTCAGCAAGTGACCCGTTGCTGTCCTGCCTGAGGTATCTCTGTGTTCTCTGTTAACTGCCTCTCACCATGTCTGGCTAACCTCTCTTCCTTCTGCCTCTTGTTTTCTGCTAACCTGCTTGCTGACCTGTTCAGATCAACTCTACCAGCAACTTGAGCAAAACCGCCGCCTAACTAATGAACTAAAGCTGGCCCTGAATGAGGATTAAACTTAAGTGTGAAAAGACTTGGGCTGAATTCTAGGAATGGAGCCCGTGTGCTGGAAGGCTAAGACTGTGCTCCCTCCAGCTAGGGTTGTAACAGTCACTTTCTGCAGAAATGCAAGTGAAAGGAATTGCTGGAAAGGCTGGCTTTGCCTGTATTTTTCTCTGTATAGCTGGAATAATTAAATTCTCTTTAATCCCAAAACAGCATTTATGGTAAAATATTGATATCACTTTAGCGTTCCTCTTTGCAATATTTTGTCCTCTTGATTGAACTGTTATGTATTAAGAACCAAAAGAAAGAAAAGGTTTTCAATTTCCCGCAGACAACTGTGAGTCCTTTAATTACATATTCACATTCCTAACTTCTTAATATCTGGTATAGTGTTTGAAATATGATTAAATGTACCTATGCTTGGGCAAAATAGCTTTTGAAAACAGGAGCTCATGTCAGAAGTCCCTGGTTGTCTGAAAGGTATGCTTTATTTGGTTTAATGGTATTGGAGTCTGGGGAGAATGTCGTGCTAATAATAAATAGAACGCTGTTAAAACACTAAGAGAATATCCCAATGAAGTGTGCATGAAATACATGGATAATTTTTTTTATGAGCAGTAGAAATAAATCATTTTAAACATTGTCAGAAAACCTGTTTTATGGCATCTGTTTTCTGTGAGATTGTGTTGCAGCACAATTCCCAGACCTTTAACTGCTTGTAGCTCAGAAATGTCTGCTGTCATTAACTTCTCCAGTTTGTATAACAGTGCTGCAAGCTGTACTTGGTTTTTACCTCTCCCTTTTCCCACGGCATACGATCAGTGAGCCTTCACCAAACCCACCTGCGTTTTATTCTCAGAGTAGATTGTTGGTGAAGGGGCACGTGACCACGCTGAGCCTCTGCCGGGGGTTCCTTCGGGTAGAGACCTCTTCCCTCTTCCTAGGTCCTTATCTGGAAATGAGTGATGTCTTATAAGCATGCCTAGTGCTAATCATCTCATCCTGTGTTTGTGATTGATGTTTGCCTGCCTAAATGTACAAACCATCCTTGTGTCCAAAGAGCAGCTATTCATGACTTAATTTTCTAATCCCACCACAGAGAAAGTGGCTCATGCCAAAGAAGAAAACCTTAGTATGCATCAGATGCTGGATCAGACTTTACTGGAGTTAAACAACATGTGAAAACCTCCTTAGCTGCGACCACATTCTTTTGTTTTGTTTCATTGTTTTGTTTTTTAAAAACTGCTTACCATGAAACCCCTTCAATGCATTTCTATTTACTTTTTTACCGCTGTCACAAATACATCTGCAGTATACCATGTCAAGGTGATAATGGTTTAAATGTGCCATTTCCCAAGTTGATGTTGCCACACTTTACGGACAACACAGTACGCTTAGTCAGTGTAGGAATCCTCACTAAAGCAGACAGATTTCTCAAAGTGCCAACAATGGAGCGAACAGGAATTTTAACGTTGGGAACACAATCAGGTTGTGGATTGGTGCTACTTAAAAGGTCCCCTGTGGTCTTTTATTCGATATTGTACAATTTAGAACTCTGTCCAACACTAATTTATTTTGTCTTGAGTTTTGCTATGCGGTGAGACTATGGATCCTGCATGCCTGAATGCACGAAAGCCACGGGTCTATAAGGCACGGAGCCCTTAAGATTTCCATTCCTTTCTCATTGGCACACTTGTAGTTCATTACAACTCTGTAGGATGACATTCAATATAGATTTCCAGTCTTCATTTCTCCATGTTAAAGTGAAAGATCTAGGCACTACATACAATTGGTAAAGAAAGAGCATTTTCCTGAGAGTTAAAACTATATGTAAACATTGTATAATGATATGGAATAAAATGCACATTGTAGGACATTTTCTAAATTTGGTGGTCCTGTCATTTGTATGTCTTTTGCTTTGCGAACTTTAGATTGATTGACCTGACTTCCCTTACGAATGATTTCTTAAAACAATATCCCAGGGTCCAAGGGGAGACCTGCGTTTCACATGTGTTACTTCTTAGAAACACAGCAGCTTCCTTTCGGTCTGTTAGCGTTACAACCAAGTAGGGAGGGCCCTTTCCAAAAGTCATTCTTCATGGTTTTCAGCATACGTTTGCACATACAGGTGAGACCATGAAGCAGCAGGTATAGGAGGAGGAGGCTGGAAGGATGTAGGCTTAGTCTCCCGTGTTGCAGCTCATTGACCATGAATGGGAAGGGTTTTTTTTGGAGACAGAGCCTCAAGCTGTCCCCCTGGATAGACTGCTGTGGCATCACAGCTCACAGCAACCTCCAATTCCTCGACTCAAACGAGTCTCCTGCCTCAGCCTCCCAAGTAGCTGGGACCACAGGTGCCCGCCACAACGCCCAGCTATTTTTTGGTTGCAGCCATCATTGTTTGGCGGGCCGGGCTGGATTCAAACCTGCCACCTTAGTTGTATGTGGCTGGCGCCTTAGGAATGGGAAGTTTTAACATCAAACTTCCTCTCTGGGTTCCAGGGCTCAGAGAGATCAGTTAGTTATGAAGCATCATACCACTACAAGGAATGACTGCCTGTTTCCACCTGGCACATGCCTGTGGCTTAATCCAATGTGATAACCTCTGAACGTGCCAGTCCGTGAAGTCAGGGAAAAAGAGATTAGTTAGGACATTATGGAAAGGCCACAGCTGGAAGCCTATATGGTTCCCATTTACAGAGCCATGAATTGTAGAGACACAATTCAAGATTCAGAGCCTATAAATTCTGTTACTGAAACTTAGGCCCAGATGTCCAAATGAACAGCTGGAACAGTTGCCCTGTTCAGTGCGGAACTCCATGGAAACAGGGTACAGGGTAGGGCAGTGCCTGTGGCTCAGTGGGTAGGGTACCGGCCCCATGAGCCAAGGGTGGCTGGTTTGGACCCAGCCGTGGCCCCGGCCCCGGCCAAACTACAACAAAAAAAATAGCTGGGTGTTGTGGCAGGCACCTGTAGTCCCAACTACTCGGGAGGCTGAGGCAAGAGAATCGCCTAAGCCCAGGAATTGGAGGCTGCTATGAGCTGTGACACCACAGCACTCTACTGAGGGTGACAAAGTGAGACTGTCTTTACCAAAAAAGGGGGGGTACAGGGTAAGAATAGAAGCATCTTCAAAAACTATTAAGTTTGTGATGAGAGTTGTACACTCTGTTCTTCAGAGAGAATAAAAGTGCTTTGTGGATACATCCTGAACTTTTTGAGACTGGCATTGAAAAGAACAATTCCCCTACTTAATTGCTCCTAGAGATGTTGTTGGCAAAAACATCTAATTAAAAAATATATAATTTTTGCGTATGCTGCTGTGTATCCCCTGGTGTTCAGTACTTGGGGCCTGATTTTTTTCTCCAGAAACAAACAAACAACAACAAAATATATATATATACACACACATATCCTTTTTACTTGAACAAACATTTGAGTGTGTGAACATCCAATTTTCTTAACTTGTCAACACTATTTGTAAATGCGATTTTTAAAAATATATATATAGTCGGATGTACATAGAGAAAAAAAATATCTAAATCTTCTAGTCAAAAAGCTTGAGGGTGTTCGGGGAGCCATCATTTCTAGAATTGGAGACAAGGGTTTAGAAAGAAATTAGAAATGTCAGGTGGCACAAGAAGTGTTCCCTCCACGATATATACTTTCTGACATTGAGGGTTTTCAGAGCTACATTCCTCCAACAGACGTCATAAATTTTGTCTGTCAAACAATGAATGAAGCTATGTTGAGAGTTCACTAATATAAAAGTAACTGTTGCCAAGTCTTTCACAAACGGGCATAGAACCGGGAGGATAAGGCTGGTTTCTGCTGCCTGTGAGTTTTATTTCCATTGGTTACCAAGGCCATGCAGAACAAAGAGTTAGTCAAGGCTTATCAGGGCCTACCAAGGCGGATGGCCTGAACTTACGGGCAGACTGAGAGTCAGGTGGAGGCTTGGGATCACTGGAGTCTGAGGACAATGAGATGTAGAGGGGAAGTGGCTCGTTCCACTTGATCTTTGCCAAAAGGCCGAGGGGAGATTGTCTTGCTCAAGGTCATTAAGCCAGTTGAGTTTAGCCACCTTTGAGCAGGTAGCACAGAGGGGCTAGCTTTCGCCCTGCTCCGTGCTCATGCTGTGACCCCAGGTTAACATCACCCAGTGGGCAGCAATATCCTCATCCCAAAAGTGCTGGTTTTGGCCTCTCTGCAAGCTTGTGTACTCCCTGAGGGCTGAACACTGAATGAGCTGACACCTCCAGATGGCTGTGCCTCCAGTCCTTGTCTTTTCCTCAGTCCTTAGAATTTTTACCCCCACATTGGGTCCTTAGGGAAACTGAAAGTAACTTTTTTCTTTTGGAATCAAAAATCCGTAGCACCATTGCCCTGGGAGGGAATCCACTGCGTGACCACAGTACCCCACACATGGAAGACAAAATAACATTTGTTGATTGGACAAATGGCCCAGAAACAAGACACGTCTGGAGGTTGTTTTTTTTTTTTTTTTTTTGAGACAGAGCCTCAAGCTGTCCTCCTGGGTAGAGTACCCTGACATCACAGCTCACAGCAACCTCCAACTCGCTCAAGCGAGTCTCCTGCCTCCTCCTCCCAAGTAGCTGGGACCACAGGTGCCCGCCACAACACCCCGCTATTTTTTGGTTGCAGCCATCATTGTTTTTGGCAGGCCCAGGCTGATTCAAACCGTCCACCTTAGGTGTATGTGGCTGGCGCCTTAGCCACTTGAGCCACAGGCGCCGAGCCAGTCTGGAGGTTGTTAAATCACCAGCGTTCGCTCTGCCTCCAGGAGGCCGGCTGAGTGTGGACAGGCTGGACACACAGAAGAGTTAGCCCCTTCCTCCCATGGGTGCTGCATGGAGGTGGAGGACATGGGGCCAGTGCACTTTATGATGGTGAGTCCTGGTCTTTTACCAGCTCAGCAGGGACTCAGGATCCCAAGTACTGCCTTTCCAGTGGAACTCTTGTTTAGGTCACAAATCAAACACTAAACTCCAAGGTACCTGCATTGGCATCATAGAACCCTTTGACCTTTCAATGAGTTGGATTTTGATGGCTGGCCCTGTCCTGCACTAGCACCCCACTCTCCCCACCCATCCTAAAGCCCACTTCTCTGTGAAAACGCCTCACAAGAAAATAGTTGCCAAGAAACAACTTGCATCGTGCTGTGGTCCATCAGAGACACCGTTATCTGAAGTGAACCTCATCACTAGTCCCAAGAGGATTAAGTATTGTTGCTAAAAATCTAGTGATCCACATATTAGAAATGAGAACCAAGGCCCAGGCAGTAGGGCTTTGTTTTTAAGGAGGATGCTGGCTTCACAGAAGGGCTGGCATATCTGTGCCTCAGGATTGTAGCCAGCCAGGACGTGATGAATTGCTGGTGTGTCCAGCTTGAAGCCTGACATTCCCATGATGTATTTTCCTGCTATATTTACACAAAGCACTCCTTTCCAGAACACTCCAGGACTGTCTGCCTAGCACCTTCAAAAGAAATTTAAAAGGAACGGGCAGAATAACTTGTCCAGGAATAGGAATGTAAAGAAAATGTGCCTCGATGAATGGTTCCCAGTCTCACATCCTGGCATAACTGCTCACCTCACCTCTGTTCAATGGCTAGCCCTCTACTTAGAGACTCCCATCTGGAATTCCCACTGTTTTCAGCTTTCATTATCCCTCTATGCCCAGCTTTTGGTTTGCTTTCATATTGTATTTTATTGGCTAGAGAACATACACAAATTAAGATTCATAATTTGGCCTCAAGGACAAGGAAAGTCCATTTCCATTTAAAAATCATCTACAGTATTTTAGAGAATATAGATTGGTGTTTCTGGGAAAATACAGATGTATAAAACAGACTTCTTGCCCTCAAGGACTCTATTAAGAAAGATACTGACTATGTGCTCATTTTGTCTCACTTTGTCATCCTTGGTAGAGTGGCATGGCATCACAGCTCACAGCAACCTCAAACTCTTGGGCTTAAGTGATTCTCTTGCCTCAGCCTCCCAAGTAGCTGGGACTATGGGCGCCTGCTACAATGTCTGGCTTTATTTTTTAGAGATGGGGTCTGGCTCTTGCTCAGGTTGGTCTCAAACCTATGAGCTCAAGCAGTCCACCGACCTAGGCCTCCTAAGTGCTGGGATTACAGGTGTGAGCCACCACGCCCAGGCCCTTCCCTTTTT